AAATTCAAGGAGATCTGGAAATGGACACAATCTTTCGAAGATGTTTTTTGGTAGAAGATATGATTTCAAAAATATATACAACAATCACAAAGTTGGACAACTGGCAGCTGACTGCAGGGCTTTACCTTGGCCTTGTGGGAGGAAAGCCAGATCGGAAATAGACAGCGCTGAGCAGAGGGGCAGACACTGGCTGAAGTCTGCACGGCAAGCAACACCGAGAGAAGACGCAGGCACGTGAGTGGGCGCGCCGCACACAGCCTGGCAGGGCAGAAGGGGCCCTTCCTGGCACAACTGCTCGCAACACAACACCATCCCGAGATGGAGCACAGCACCAGGGTACCAGAAAATCCCAAGAATACACTGCTGGAAGAGAAAGAACGCTTCCTCCTGACATTCAGAAGATGAGGGAGCTGCCAATTAGTACTGGTCAACCCGGCCTTCATCACACCTCTCTCACAGCATTCACAGAACCCACCACAATCCCAGCCTATTTACATGTTCCTCGTATCCCAGATAACAGAGCTCACAGATGGCTGTTAAAATTATTTTTACCTCATTTAAATTCCATTCAGATGCGCAAATCAATTCAGCATGGTCATGCTTTCTGTATTTTGTTAAGTTTCAGTTCACCTCCTTTTTTTCCTTTCAAAGGATCTCATTAGATAATGCTAGTTTCAATTAGAAAAGTCTCACTTTTTAAAATAAAAGGTTAGTTACACTACCTTCTAAATAATCTGGGGGCGGGGGGGCGGACGTAGAGCTATGCTAATCGGTTATATCTCTGCATTTAAATACACAGGAGATCTGCTTTGTAAGAGAACAAGAACTGCATCTGGTCTTCAATCTGTGGTCATCAGCTGAAGTGCCTCGGCCTGTCCTGAGATAATGGCTGACCTAGATCCCCTGAACTCAAGCAAGATGAATGTTCCTACCTCTTGTTGCCTTCTCTTAGTCTATAATGACCTCATTATCATTCCCTTTAATAAAACTGTTGCCTTGTACTTACTGCAAGTTCATTTCACTGATGTTTTTGTAGAAGGCAGTGAGTCTCACCTGGGCTGATCTCGCTCCCCAGGGGACATCTGGCAGTATCTGGAGCCATTACTGGTTGTCTCCAGCCAACGGGGTGTGCCCCGGCATGTAGGCAGTAGCAGCCAAGGCCGCTGCTAACCACTCCCCAGTGCCCAGGACAGTGGTCCCATGGAGAACGACGAAGCCCCAAACGCATTCAGGTTGAGAATTTCTGATCCAAATTCAAGCGTCACCTACTATTTCCTCATACTTTCTAACGAATAATCCTTAATTGACCAATGTTCTTAAGGATTAATGGATGAAAATAAGAGAAATATTCCAGTATGATGGCCACTCTGCCTCTGAACTTTACACGTATGTGTCAGACTCATTTGAATTCAAGATGTCTATAAAGAGTCTTTAAAACATGAGCTCTGCAGTTAATGTACTGTAACTGTACGTTGACAAATTCTTGGCAGGTTAAGATCTACTGGAGACATTCTACAAGCAAACAATTATAAGTGATATGATTATGAAGTTTAAGATCATCTAAAACCTTCCATGTAGTTCATAAATATCAAGGAAAAAATACACTCTAACGCCCATTCATCCCTAAAGATACAGGAGAGCAGGGCCGTGTGGACACCCATCTCCCAGTTTTCTTCTCAAAACTAACACTGCGTTTACTGAGCAATAACTGAACCAGGCAAATCCTCCTAACTTGCTGAATTTCAATTGCTATTAAAATGAATTAATCATGTAAAACTTCAGTGAACTTTTCTCAAATCACCCCACTCTTCTATGTTTTTCTGAAGCAAGGTGCCAACAGTAGCAGCTGCCAAGCACCTAGTTTTTGCTAGCCACTCATACAGCGTCGCCCTGACCTGCAAGACGAGGGAGATCCAGTTCTGAGTGTTAAATGACACGCCCAAGGCCAGAGAATATGTCTGTTGTAACAGCCCCAATTCACCAACGGGACCCCACCCCTTCCTCCATGCCCTCCCTTGAGAGGGTGCCTGCAACTTCCAGGGTGTGTGCTCATATCATGCAAAGCTTGAAAAGCAACTCTTAATTAGCACCCTGCCTCTTTTCAGATAATTAATTTAAAAAACAGGCTTCAGGCAGGTATAGCAGGTGAGTTCTTGGTTAATGTCCACCAGAAACGCCACACAAAAATCGAGCAGCCGCTTGGTGTATGCCTTCAGAGAAGGCCCAGAGCTGGCATCGTCCCAGGCATTCGGGGGGAGTGAGCTCTGGCCCCAGCGAAGCCAGCCGTGCCACCCAGTGATGCTGGACATACCTGGCTGGTACTGTTGGCAGCGGACGAATTGGCTTGAGCTGTACTTGCTGAGAGGGAATCCAGGAAGGCTTGGTCAGCCACTGAATTTCCACAAGAAAACGCATCTTTTCCATCACTAGGTAAAATCTGAATATTAAAAAGATCCAGTGATTTCCAGTTATTTTCATTTGTTAGGATTATTTCAGACTCAGAGTCTCTGAGGACGAGCTATGATCAGCAGCTACTGTGAATGGGGGCTCACGCTCTTCAAGGATGAGCATACGTGAGACCCTCGGTAACAATGGCCTCCTTCCGCAGAGTGTGGACAACTTGAGAGCAGTTAATGCCAGTACCAACCTAACTCCTCGGGTTTTTCTCAGTCCTGTTCATTTTTAAAACACTGAGCACACAGCGCCCAGAGCCAACTCAGGGTGTGCGCCTACAGTCTGTGGACGGTGTTTGGGGCTGTGAGCCCTCTGACACTGCATGGTACACTGCGGAGTGTGCAATTTTTCCCAAGCAAGTGTACAGACTTCATCAGAGCCTCAAAGGGTTCAAGACTCCCCACCCCTCACTCTCAACAGACATACAGCCTTCCCAGTCTGTAGCTGGTGCCAATAAAACACACTCCTGGGGCCTTCTTCCTCTCTACGGGACGGGACCAAAGGCATCTTTATTCTGGAACTCAGTCCAGCGGGGCATGGGAGGCAAGGTCACCGCACCCAGTCCATCAGTTTTGGGTAAGCTACAGCCAGCCAACAGGAGCTCTGGTAGCATAATGCCTAAGGCACTTGACTGCTAACCAGAAGGCTGGCGGTTCAAACCCACCAGCCACTCCTCGGAAGGAAGATGGGGCAATCTACTTCTGTAGTGATACTGCCTCAGAAACCCAAGGAGGGGTTGCTAAGTCGGGTCCGACTGGATGGCACATAACAACACAACAACAACAACAGCCAGCCAGCAGGGGGAGCCAGCAGGTCGACTCAGGAGGCTCTGTCAGCTGAGTGGGCGTGTCCCAGACAGACTGTAGTCTCATCTGGTACCTGTCATGTTTGTTGTCAGGTGCCACTGAGTTGATTTCAACTCACAGGGACCTTATGTAAAGCAACAAAACAGTGCCGGGTCCTGGCGTCATCCTCACAATTGCTATGTTCCAGCCCACTGTTGCAGCCACCGTGTCAATCCATCTCATTAGAGGTCTTCCTCTTTTTCGCCGACCCTCTACTTTACCCAGCACCTATCATAATAGAGCTGAAACCAGCCAATACCTCAAAGCAGCTCACTCAAGGTCCCTTCTGTCCATGGGACTGGGATAAGGGACTGAAGTAAGTCCTGAATTAGCAAAGGGAGAAGAAAGCCACTTTGAAAAATCTGCTACTTAATCTCTGAATCAATTCTACAATCACCAGTTCTACAGGCAGCAGCGAGGCCATACCACGAACAAACAGAAAACAGGGACTTTTATTCAGAATAATTCAAAATTGCTATCCTTGAAGGAACCACTTTGAAGCGTACATCTCTAGGCAGTATTTTTCCTTAGTTCTACTTCAATATATTTTCCACATTTTATATAACTAGCATTTATTACCTGCACAACAAAAATTGTCTTATTTTAAAGACAGTTTTCAGCATGTCTCTTTAAGTCAGTGGTTCATAAAAAGATGCTTGAGACAGAGTGAGCTTATTAATTAACAGATGACAGTAAATGCTTACTTACTTCCACATAGTCCGTGGGAACGAGCCCTCGCTCTCCTTTGCTGTTTCTTCCTTCCAGCCATCCTCCACCAACATCCTAAAAAAGGCACCACGCACAACAATTAGAGTGGAATTTCCCACAGAAATTTTGCTTTGGGAACTGTTATACATCCAAAGGGAAGAAGCATTCAGTCTTTTATTCCTACAAACTTCACATGCTGTCCAAAATTTTAGATTATTTACTTTGTGATTTGGGTGAAAGTTTACAGAGTAAATTCGTTTCTGATCCAACAATTCCTACACGCTCTGTTTTGTGACACTGACCGCAATCCCCCCAACATGCAGGACTCCTCCCGCCTCCTTCCGCCTCCTCCCACCTCCTCCCAAGTTTCCTGTCTCCATCCCTTCTTTCCTGTCCTGTCCTGCCTTCTGAGCGTTACTCCGGGGCAGATGCCGCCCTCTGGATGTCCTCTGGTTGATACTCTTAGGAGCGCGGAGCTCCCTGACATCACTGCTCACCTTACAGACCTCTTGCTCAGCTGAAAGGGGAGCCGTGGCGGGAGCCTGGCTGCAGGCCTGAAGGGCGTCTAAGGGCCACAGTCCTGGGGGCTCAGCCAGCCTCTATCAGACCAGGAAGCCTAGTCTTTTTTGTAGGATTCTGAGTTTTGTTCCACGTTTTTCTCCCACTCCATCCAGGACCTCCTATTGGGATCCCTTTCAGAGCAGTCAGCAGTGATACTGAGGCACCAGCTAATTCGTAAAACAGTAGGTGTTCCTTAAGTTTCTAAATAATCCCCTAATGAATTTAGCAATCAGCTGAATCTGGTAACAATTCTTTTATTAAAAGTCACTTAAGCCACGGCTGTCAATCTCTGGCCTCCACGTTCACTTGGAGACATTTATTTACTATCTCACACCCTTCCAAAAGAACACCACTTACTTAGGTTTTTTCAAATGATGAAATTTTAGATGCTTTCCATTAAAAAAATTAGACAGTAGACAAAAGAATCTTCACTGTCCCATGATGAAAATCGGAGCCTCTCTGCTTCCATACGTGAAAATCAAACCCACTGCCATCCAGCAGTTCCGACTCACAGCTTCCCTGCAGGGCAGAGCAGAGCTGCAGCAGACTTTCCAAAGCTGCAGGTCCTGACGGAAGCAGGCTGCCACACCTGTCTCCTGTGGAGCGGCTGGGAGGTTTGAACTAGCGACCTCTGGTTAGCAGCCAAACATTTCACCACCGCGCCACCAGGCTCCTTTACTTACATACAGCTAACGTTTACCCACAATCACTACACTTGCTTATCCTATACAGCCATTCTATTTTTTATGTCTGTTTTTTAAGACACATAAAATAGGTGGAAAAGAACGTCACTTTGAGGGAACCATCAACGCCTTGCTTGTTGCCACCCTCCTTCTGCTCCTCTCCCTCCCACTCGGAGGGACATCTGCTCTCCTCCGTTGCTCAGGAGGACCCAAGGCCCCTTGATCTTCTTCTGGGCCTTCTGAGACGCTGAGGGAGGCCCCGGCTATCCCCAGCTCTGCTGATGCAAACCTGGAGGGCAGGGTACGTCCTCTAAATGCAGCTCACCTAAATGAAAGGCATTTGCTCTTTCCAAGAAGTTCTTCTCACTCACAGACTCCGTAAATCCGTCACTCTCTCAGGTGCAAAGGCCAAAAGCCTGAGTCATCCTGGATTCTTTCTCACCATCCTACCTCATCAAGGCCCAGGTCCATGGGGCTGACTCTCTAATAAAGCCACTGCATCTGTCTTCCTTCTGTTCCTATTGTCACAACCCAGATTCATGTCCTCGGACTCAGCCACACCAACTCACTGCACATATCTGCGCTAGAGTCGCTTCCCTAGAGTGCAGGTCTCATCATGCCACTCCCAACAGCCCTGAAATGAATCCACTACTTACCAGATTAGGTCCCCAGTCTACAGCCTGGCCCCCAAGGCCTCGCTGACCAATTCAAAGAGTTACTCTTACTGCCCTGTAATATCCCTAGCAAAGAAGAAAAAGCAGAGGCTTCAAGGACACGTGTATGTGGTTTAGAAGCCTTGCTCTGCTACTTACAAGCTGAGTGACCCTGGGCAAGTTACTTAACCTCTCTGAGTCTCACTACTTTCATTTGCAAAAGAGAAATCAACTGATCTATCTATAGAGTGCATGGGGAAAACACATTAAAGAAAAGTAACTAGTATTCAGCTTAAGTGGTGCAAACAGGTAATGCACCCAGCTGCTAATGGAAAGGCTGGGGGCCCCGATCCACCCAGAGGTGCCTCATTAGAAAGGCCTGGCAACCTGCTTCAGAAAAACCAGCCGCTGTCAACCCACGGGGCACAGTGCTGCTCGGATATGTGTGGTGACCATGGCGCAGAGTCAACCCAGCAGTGGTCAGTTTTACTTGGCCAAACAGCCGCCTCACAGGCTATCAAAAAATGCCAGGTGGGGCCGCTGAAGGCACTGGGTACTTCCTGATCTCTACAACTTTGGTCCAGCCGCTCCCTCTGGCTGGGGCTCCAGCTTCCCATGTCTGTCTGCTGAAGCCGCACCCACACTTAACAACCTATCCAGTCGGGTTTCATCTTCTCCATTAAAACCTGTACCACCCAACAGTGGCAGAACGGGTCTCCCTGCCACAGCTGCTGTCAACAACTCTGTCACTTCTTTATACACCACCTTGAATTTCTCCTCCTTTATGTCATATAAGGAGCTCTGGTGGTGCAGTGCCTGAGGCACCTGACTGCTAACCAGAAGGCTGGTGGTTCAAACCCACCAGCCACTCGATGGGAGAAAGATGTACTGCCTTAGAAACTCAAAGGGGGCCGCTCTGAGTCAGAATCGACTGGATGGCAGTAAGCTTGGTTTTTGGTTTATGTCGTATGCACCTTACAAAGAAAAAAAAAAAGATGCATCTTCATGAATATTCCTCAAAGCACCTACTATAACTATATAGCCTCACACACAGCAGGTGCCCCGTAAAAATGTATCCTATGACCAAATGTTTTGGACGAATTTCAAGTCTACAGTGGTTTAGTTTTAAGGGACAGGAAAATGCTGGATATATTTTCTAGGACATGTAATCCTGCAGAATAAAGCTGGGAAATTTAAAATGGACTCTTTGAACACTGGTATAAAATGTGGTCAAACTTGAAGTTGAGTGGTGATGTTAATATCCTAGTAAGTATGTCAGCTAAAAGAAATGTCTCAGCCACGTCAGCAGGTGGTGTGCCCTCAGTGGTTACTGGATGACACTAAGGAATTATCAGTTGTGTCAGGTGTGATAGAAGAGTATTGTGATTATGCCTAAAACCCAATTCTCTTTCTCAGGGATGCATATTGGCGTATTTATGGATGAAATGACACAATGGAATGTGCTTCACAATAAAGTATGTAACAGAAGGAGGAAGCAGAAGGGATAGCAGGGAGGAAAGATGAAACAAGACTAGCCATAACACCCAAAAAACGGAAATAAATAAACCAAACCCACCACCATCAACTCAACTCGAACTCAAAGAATTGCCCCAGAGGGGTTCCAAGGCTGCCATCTTTACAGAAGCAGAGCCCAAACCAAACCCACTGCCTGGGAGTCAATTCCGACTCACAGCACCCCTAAAGGACAGAGTAGAACTGCCCCATAGGGTTTCCAAGGCTGCCATCTTAACAGAAGCAGTCTGCCACATCTTTCTCCTGTGGAGGGGCTGGTGGGTTCAAACTGCTGACCTTTCAGTTAGCAGCCAAGCCACTGTGCACCAGGGCTCCAGACTGGCCACACAATGATAATGAATGAAGTGGGATAATGAGGTGACGGGTGCAAAGGTGTTCATTAATCCATTGTCTCTACTTTAGTGAGCATTCAAAACTTTGTGATTTTAAGATGAAAATATCTATGTGTCTATCTCATGCTAAACACTACACAGCAGATTACACAAAGAGCAGAGAAACAGAAGGATAATAGGATGTGGTTTCCATCCTCAGAGAGCATCTAGTTTAGTACGGGAAGCAGGCACAGATAAAGCCTGGTAGTCACAGGACAGCAGCCAATCCCAGCCCACGGGAGCACTCAAGAGCTCTCAGGGATGTCACGGAAGGCTTCCGATCCTTCGGCAGGGGACACTGTTTCAGACAATACGGGCCAGCAGGCAGTCTCTTCTGTTTTGTTCTGTGCCACAGAGGGATGGGGGCTGCATGGTGACTGGCAGAGTGAACATCACGCAGGGGCACGAGACCCATGTACTGCACATGTCTGCCCTGACACCTGCTCGGTCTACCAGTGTAAGGGGTCGGGGGACAGGAACAGGAGTCAGGCTGGAGAAGTAAGAAGGGGCCCGACAGGGGCTGACTTGTGGACCTATAGCTGACAGGAAGCTACCAAAGAGGTAGCAGTACACAGTTATATGAGCAGATACATACATGTCTCTATCTGTAGATGTGTGCCTGTACACACGTGTAGATGCACACATATGTAAGGTATGTACTTTGAAGGTGGCACAGTCAGGGTTGCGTGTTAGAGGACAAGAGGCGAGAGCAGGAGGCTGCAGGGAAGGTAAGCGGTCCAGGTGAGAGGACAAGACCCTGACAACAGGGGAGCAGAGGAGAAGAGCAGAGAGGGGCAGCACGCAAGAGACAACCACAGGTCTTGGCTTGCGACCTCAAGGCAGGGAGTCTCACTGGGCGACTGAGTGGATGGGGGGCCATCATGACAGGAAAACAGGGAACTCAGGGGTAGGAGCATGCTCAGCACAGCTGATCTGTGAGCTCTGGGTGTGGTAAGTGTGAAGCGCTTATGGAAACACTGAGAAACAATGTCTGAGAGGCAGCTGGATAACCAAACCTGAGCTTTGAGTGACGTGGTCCAGTCGCACATATAGACTGAATGACCTTTAGCATCTCAGTGATGACTCAGAAAACAGCTGAGCATGTATACATGAGGAAGATGAGTCGGAAAATGAGTCATTCAAGACGCAGAAAGAGGAAGAGACCACGAAGGGGTAGTTAGAGGTAAACGGAGAGCCTTCCACAGGCTCTACAGCGCCAGGGCCAGTCAGCAGCCCCTAGTGGGAAACATCCAGGAGAAACAGGCCGCAGACTAAGTCGGGGCAAAACTCTCTGTTTCCGTATCATCTGGGCACCTGGCACAGGCCTGCATGCTCTTCAGTACGTGAGTGACTGTGACGGGAAAAGGACACAGCAGGGACACTATGGCACACACACAGCCAGGGCAGGCGTCTGCCAGAGGCACCGGCCAACGGAAGGTGGAGGGCAGTGTCACCAAAGCCAGCCACGCCAGGCGTGTTGAGGGGCCACGGGCAACGAAAGCCGCAATGGGCCACGGGATTGACCAGGCGTACAAGTACAAAAGCTAATTCTCCATGCCTGCTATTGATTCCCCCATGTAAACCGACGTAAGTCCTGAACGAAATACTAGCAATTGAGACATTTCTTCTTAAACTCTATTTCAAGACACTCATAGTTTGTTTGAATTTTAACCACGTATCTGCCATGGATATTTAAGGAGGCCTGCAATAGAGTTACATATAAAAAAAAGTCAAGTACAATGGGCCTCTCAGGGTGCAGAAGAGTATGAAGGGATGGACACTGGGAGGAGGTAACTATGGGGAGGAAGTGGGAGGGGAGCTGCTGCATTGTGGTTAACTGTAGTCAATGACATGAGACAAAGTATATGTGAACTGCTGTATGAAAAGTGAATTTACTCTGTAAATCTTCACCCAAATAAAAAAAAAAAAAAAGTCAAGTAAATAAAAATGGAGGCAGATATCACACAGAAATAATGGAATTATTAAATTAAATTATTAATGATTATTAAACTTGTCTCTGAACTTCCTGGCAACAAGGATCATAAAAAGAAATTGAATAGTCCATAAAGATTTTGTTTCATGAAAGAAAATATGCCAAATCTCCCAAGAGAAATAAAAGACCACAGGGATGCTTACTAGCAAAGACAGCAGTACACAGTTACATGAGCAGATACATACATGTCTCTATCTGCAGATGTGTGCCTGGACACACGTGCGTAGATGCACACATATATAAAGTCTATACTTTGAAGGTGCATGTGGGGGCTGTGTGTGTGTACGTTCAAACAGTTCAGAATGATGGAAAAATGTTTGTCATACATACAGCCATTTCTTATTTGAATAAAAGTTGGAGCAATAACTTGTAGTTCGGCACAGACAATTTCACTGGAACGCACACTAACACGCTTGAGCATACTGCTCTCTGGTCATCTAATCTGGCTTAACGATAAAGCTTTCCCGTAGGAGCCGCCTGCAATCAGGAGACTCAGTGTCACGCCTCGTTCTGGAGACACAGCATTAGGTACCATGACAGCACAGGGTGCCTGAGATGTCAGGACGTAGAAAATGAATTTACAGAGTAACGGATAAAGGGAAAAGTATCAAATAAGCATACCAAAAAAGACATCAAGCAAAGAGGCAAGAATAAACTCAACTCTATATTCAGCTCTCTTTAGGAAACCAAATTCTCCTCACGTTTAGATAGCTTCTTACTGTACCAGCAAGACTTCAGAAGCTACAGAAGAAAAATTCACGTGGGGTGAAGGCTCAACTTATTAAAAAACCCAGCCTCAAAATAAGTCCCTAAGGCACCATCTGGTTTAAACGTCAGGCCCCCTTACCGGGTTTGTTACGGTGATGATCTCGCCTTCCTTAACCGTCAGTTCATTATTTCCAGGTTCAGCAGCAAAATCGTACATAACCCGGGCCTGTGGGAAGAAGA